CTTTTTTCCGGGGCCTGTCGCTGCGGATGTGAATAGATTGAGTTGTTGCTGCTGCTGCTGCAGCTGCTGCTGCAGCACCGTCACTCGAGCCTGAAGACGAGCCGTTGCACCCCAACGCTTGGGCAGTGTCTCGCTGTCGAACTTCTCCTCTCCGCGCGTGGTTGACGTTGCAGCAGAAAACTGAACACAAACAGCAGCAACGCTGCAGCAGATGAAATAAACACAACAGCCCGATGCTGCTGCTGCAGCTGCAAGCCGGCAGCAGGTCTCCCCTCATACATCCATTAAGAAATACACCACCCCAAAGGTGTTGGCTCCGCATACACTGAAAACATGCAACGCATGCATCTCCTCTGAGTTTACATCACGGCGAGGGTTTGTTTCACTTGGGTAATCGGGACGAGCCAATGCAACCCTAAACCCTAAACCCTAAACCCTAAATATTAAACCCCGAATCTCTGGTGTATGTTGAGATATCATTTTCAGAAAACCTTACATCGATATGCGCTTCCCTTTCAAATGCTTTGTGCGCCTCTGGGAATTTAGATTCTAGATAGAGGGCAATGGCCAGGTGGAGCTGCTGCTCCTGCCGGGCCCTCAGAGCCATCTTATACCGGTTCAGCTGCCTGGCGGGGTGTATGTGCAGCTTCCCGGTTTGGTGTGGTGTGTGCGCGTGCCGGTGCTAGGGAGAAACGTGGGCGCCTGCATGCTCTGCCTCGNCCCGGTTTGGTGTGGTGTGTGCGCGTGCCGGTGCTAGGGAGAAACGTGGGCGCCTGCATGCTCTGCCTCGCCCCGTTGAGCAAGCGATCCGCAAGAAGAAGTACACTGGCTGAAGCGGATACAACCCCACTTAAGGGATTTTAATAAACACAAAGGCAGTTGAAGCGCTTCACGAGAAATGATAGTCGCTTTAACCCACAGAGTGCTGCTCGTGCCGGTGGTCGCGGCGGCCCCTGTCCGCCTTCTTTGTGCAGATCATCGAAAGCAGCAGCCCAGCATTTAAATAAATATAATAAATAGTAATAATAATCGTATTCAAAGACTTTGCTTTCTGAGTTTTCCACAGATCAATATATATCAGGAGCTGTCACCGGGCCAATGCAGGGGAGAGCTCACGGTGGACCGCCAGAAGCTGTCTTGAGCCAGCCCACAGTTGCATTCATCATTTCTATGCGTAGAGCCTCCAATTCCCAGTTAAGTCTTTGAAATATGAGTTTTAGTTTTTGCTTTAATTTAAAAACATCATATGGTGCTCGCTGCGCTCAGCTTCGGTATGGCGTAGCCTTACCCCGCGCACACCGCTCGCACCTCACCACTGGATTGCTTAAGATCCTGCGTTTCAACTCCCCTTCATCCTTCTCACTTTGTCTGCATGTATAGGGTTTAATTACTCCATATAATTCTTGACTCGTTTGTATTCCGAGCCGGAAATGGTTATTGCGGCTTGCATTTGGGGGGGGGGNTTTGGGGGGGGGGGGGTGCTTGCGTTGGGCTGCGGTGTAAGCTGAAAATGGCTTCCTCAATTTCAATATGTAAAGTATCCACATTACCCGTTCCCTGTATCATCCTATGACACTGCATGCATGCAGGCGATGCCACTGAGAACGAGACAGAGTCTGCTGTAGAGGTGCCCAGCAGTAGCTTCGAACACGACATATGCTAATAAGCCAAAGCTGGAATTGGAAACCACGGGGCTAGCTAAGTAAGTATGCGTTCTCTTGCTAGAGTCTGGCTGTATGGTTTTCTAGTTACAGTGAGCGGGAGTTGTTTATGATTATACAAATAATAATAAACTCAAATTTCAGTTTCAGCTCTGCCTATTGCCTGTCATCGCCACTATGCCTATACAGCAACAGAACCTATCAGCG